CAAGTGTGATCCACCAAAGTACAGCTTTTATATCATGCAAGTGTGATCCACCAAAGTACAGCTTTTATATCATGCAAGTGTGATCCACCAAAGTACAGCTTTTATATCATACAAGTGTGATCCACCACAGCACTGTGTAATGATGCACCAAGTTCGTACTCACCTCAACCAGTATGGTGCTGATGTGGTCATGGATGAATGCTGCTAGGACGCTGTCGTTACGACAACAGTTCTTCATTTGTATCTCCAGCATCTGTTGGGAGAGCTCCACTCCTTTTAGCTTTGCCTGGAGTGCTGTGAGGTCCTCTCCAAGCTGGTTCAGGACATTACTCGACTGACTATGGTACGCCGCCCCAACACTGGAAAAAGGGTCAAAGTCGAAATGAAACTAGTGATTCTGTTCTTATTCTCCCAAAAACCACTAATGTTTCACTAAATGTGTATGTTACTTAAATAATACAGTGAACATCTTGTTACAGCCCAGTAAGTGGAAAACAAAAGGTAACCTCAGCTCTCTGACAATACATTCACAGTAGTGTGTGGCTATTTAAAATCAAATCCGGAGAAATCTGCTCTTTGACTTATTGAAAATCAGAAAAATTGAATTTCTTATCACTAACCACTGCAGTGTTTTCAAAATACTTACGTTTCAAGATTCTGTTTCTCCATTTCCATTTTCTGTTCCACCAACTTAAACATGAAAAAGTCAATATATTTTCTCAAATAAATTGTACATGTAGTCAAGATACTATAAAACCAAATTTTGTTTAATTTCAGGATGAAATAAAAATCACAACAAGAGTACCGCGGGGCGGAACAAAATATGCCCGTCGAATGCCATATATTGTTATATACTTTCTTACATTGAAATAAGATCTGCATCATTCTAAGAGTGGTTAGTGGACATGCTATAAAAAATGTAGGAGAAAATCTTCAGACAAAAAATCAAATATTGAAATGAACAAAAGGCAATAAATTTTGCAAACATCGTCGAATCAAAATTCTTTTAAGGGAGACACAACTTCATGTCATGATTATAAAGTATACCAAGTTTCAAAGAGATTGGTCGAAAAATGTAGGAGGAGATTTCTGGACAAAATTCAAATACTGAAATGAACAAAGGGCAATAACTTTTGGAAAAATTGTCGAATCAAAATTCTTTTATGGGAGACACAACTTCATATCATGATTATCATGTATACCAGGTTTCAAAGAGATCGTTCGAAAAATGTAGGAGATCTCCGGACAAAATTCAAATACTGAAATGAACAAAGGGCAATAACTTTTGCAATAATTGTCGAATCAAAATTCTTTTAAGGGAGACACAACTTCATATCATGATTATAATGTATACCAAGTTTCAAATTTGACGGTCGAAAAATGTAGGAGAAGATTGCCGGACAAACAAAGTTTACGCCGGACGGACAACGCCATACCATAATACTACCGTCAAATTTGACGGTCGTATAAAAACACTAGAGGTCTCAAACCAGTGATATTTGAATGAGATACGAAAAAAAGATAGGCAATTTAATTATTTTGTGACCAAAGGGCCTGAAGATATACACTCAATTGTTGCCATATAGGCGAGTACTTGTTCAGTGAATTTGTTGATAGTTCTTTGCCTTCTGACCGAGTCATTAGTTAACCAGTAACAGATCAATAAGACAGTTAAAGATGAAGTAAAGATGTAAATAAGACTGACCGTGATATTGCTCACGAGACTCGTGTGGAGATGCTGTAGTTTCATAGCCTGCTCATTGTTCTTACGCATCTAAAAATAAACAAGTAGTTCTGTAGTCAACATATTATTTGATTTCAAAAAGAAATAATAAGTTTGCAAAATATAGTAAAATAAACAAAATGACATTTTCTAATAGTAGAATAAACATATATTGTTTCATGAATATCATATTAAATTGTGAGTGTAGCCAACTCAGGGTAATTAAAGATATAAAACAAACTTCTAACAAGCGATCCTCTTACCCACACTTTTTACCCTACCAACAATTGTTATTGGTGTTACATTTGGTATTTCCCTACCAACAATTGTTATTGGTGTTACAATTAGTATTACCCTAGCTACCACCCAATGTTATTGGTGTTACATTTGGTATTACCTTGCCACCCAATGTTATTGGTGTTACATTTGGTATTACCCTACCACCCAATGGTATTGGTGTTGCATTTGGTATTACGTTACCACCCAATGTTATTTGTGTTACATTTGGTATTATCTTACCACCCAATGGTATTGTTGTTACAATTAGTATTACTCTACCACTCAATGTTATTGGTGTTACATTTTGTATTACCCTACCACCCAATGTTATTGTTGTTACAATTAGTATTACTCTTCCACCCAATGTTATTGGTGTTACATTTGATATTACCCTACCACCCAATGGTATTGGAGTTGCATTTGGTATTACGTTACCACCCAATGTTATCCCACACTTTTTACCCTACCAACAATTGTTATTGGTGTTACAATTAGTATTACCCTAGCTACCACCCAATGTTATTGGTGTTACATTCGGTATTACCTTGCCACCCAATGTTATTGGTGTTACATTTTGTATTACCCTACCACCCAATGTTATTGTTGTTACAATTAGTATTACTCTACCACCCAATGTTATTGGTGTTTCATTTGGTATTACCTTGCCACCCAATGTTATTGGTGTTACATTTTGTATTACCCTACCACCCAATGTTATTGGAGTTACATTTGGTATTACCTTACCACCCAATGTTATTGGTGTTACATTTGATATTACCTTACCACCCAATGTTATTGGTGTTACATTTGGTCTTACCCTACCACCCAATGGTATTGTTGTTACAATTAGTATTACTCTTCCACCCAATGTTATTGGTGTTACATTTGTTTTTACCCTACCACCCAATGGTATTGGTGTTACAATTAGTATTACCTTACCACCCAATGTTATTGGTGTTACATTCGGTATTACCTTGCCACCCAATGTTATTGGTGTTACATTTGATATTACCCTACCACCCAATGGTATTGGAGTTGCATTTGGTATTACGTTACCACCCAATGTTATTTGTGTTACATTTGGTATTATCTTACCACCCAATGGTATTGTTGTTACAATTAGTATTACCCTACCACCCAATGTTATTGGCGTTACATTTGGTATTACCCTACCACCCAATGGTATTGTTGTTACAATTAGTATTACTCTTCCACCCAATGTTATTGGTGTTACATTTGTTTTTACCCTACCACCCAATGGTATTGGTGTTGCATTTGGTATTACGTTACCACCCAATGTTATTTGTGTTACATTTGGTATTATCTTACCACCCAATGGTATTGTTGTTACAATTAGTATTACTCTTCCACCCAATGTTATTGGTGTTACATTTGATATTACCCTACCACCCAATGGTATTGGAGTTGCATTTGGTATTACGTTACCACCCAATGTTATCCCACACTTTTTACCCTACCAACAATTGTTATTGGTGTTACAATTAGTATTACCCTAGCTACCACCCAATGTTATTGGTGTTACATTCGGTATTACCTTGCCACCCAATGTTATTGGTGTTACATTTTGTATTACCCTACCACCCAATGTTATTGTTGTTACAATTAGTATTACTCTTCCACCCAATGTTATTGGTGTTACATTTGGTTTTACCCTACCACCCAATGGTATTGGTGTTACAATTAGTATTACCTTACCACCCAATGTTATTGGTGTTACATTCGGTATTACCTTGCCACCCAATGTTATTGGTGTTACATTTGTTATTACCTTACCACCCAATGTTATTGGTGTTACATTTGTTATTACCTTACCACCCAATGTTATTGGTGTTACATTTTGTATTACCCTACCACCCAATGTTATTGGAGTTACATTTGGTATTACCTTACCACCCAATGTTATTGGTGTTACATTTTGTATTACCCTACCACCCAATGTTATTGGTGTTACATTCGGTATTACCTTGCCACCCAATGTTATTGGTGTTACATTTGATATTACCTTACCACCCAATGTTATTGGTGTTACATTCGGTATTACCTTGCCACCCAATGTTATTGGTGTTACATTTTGTATTACCCTACCACCCAATGTTATTGGTTTTACATTTGGTATTACCCTACCACCCAATATTATTGGTGTTACATTTGGTATTACCCTTCCACCCAATGTTATTGGTGTTACATTTTGTATTAACCTACCACCCAATGTTATTGGTGTTACATTCGGTATTACCTTGCCACCCAATGTTATTGGTGTTACATTTGTTATTACCTTACCACCCAATGTTATTGGTGTTACATTTTGTATTAACCTACCACCCAATGTTATTGGTGTTACATTTGTTTTTACCCTACCACCCAATGGTATTGGTGTTGCATTTGGTATTACGTTACCACCCAATGTTATTGGTGTTACATTTGATATTACCTTACCACCCAATGTTATTGGTGTTACATTTGGTATTACCATCACCAATATATTACCTCTGCTGCCACATGTTGGTTTTCTTTCTCTGCTAGATCAAGTTTAAGGGCAGATAACTCTGTGGCGATTTTGCCAGCTACAATACGTTCCACGTCTGCTTCAGTGAGTTGGTTTTGTGAGCTACTTTGTAGCTGTATAATGATCCTCTTCACTTCCTCCTGAAGATTGATTGTATTTAATACTTGATCCTTCAAAATAAAATAAAAAATATTGCTTTTATTAACAAATTAAATAGATTCAACCAAACCATCTGAATCTATTTTTTTCATCTATAAAAAAGTTCTTAGCTGATTAACAAACATTGAGTCAGAACAAATTAATTTTACAGCAAGAGTCTGCTTCAGGAACTGGACAAGATTTCAGATATCCCCCTCCTTGTTGTATAGCATACTAGAGAAGATGTTAGAAACTACCGAGAAGATATTAGATACTCCCTTCCTTGTTGTATAGAATACTGGAGAAGATATTAGATACTCCCTTCCTTGTTGTATAAAATACTGGAGAAGATGTTAGATACTACCGAGAAGATATTAGATACTCCCTTCCCTGTTGTATAGAATACTGGAGAAGATGTTAGATACTACCGAGAAGATATTAGATACTCCCTTCCTTGTTGTATAGAATACTGAAGAAGATATTAGATACTCCCTTTCTCTGTTGTATAGAATACTGGAGAAGATGTTAGATACTCCCTTTCTCTGTTGTATAGAATACTGGAGAAGATATTAGATACTCCCTTCCTTGTTGTATAGCATACTAGAGAAGATGTTAGATACTCCCTTCCTTGTTGTATAGCATACTAGAGAAGATGTTAGATACTCCCTTCCTTGTTGTATAGCATACTAGAGAAGATATTAGATACTCCCTTCCTTGTTGTATAGCATACTAGAGAAGATGTTAGATACTCCCTTCCTTGTTGTATAGCATACTAGAGAAGATGTTAGATACTCCCTTCCTTGTTGTATAGCATACTAGAGAAGATGTTAGATACTCCCTTCCTTGTTGTATAGCATACTAGAGAAGATGTTAGATACTCCCTTCCTTGTTGTATAGCATACTAGAGAAGATGTTAGATACTCCCTTCCTTGTTGTATAGCATACTAGAGAAGATGTTAGATACTCCCTTCCTTGTTGTATAGCATACTAGAGAAGATGTTAGATACTCCCTTCCTTGTTGTATAGCATACTAGAGAAGATGTTAGATACTCCCTTCCTTGTTGTATAGCATACTAGAGAAGATGTTAGATACTCCCTTCCTTGTTGTATAGCATACTAGAGAAGATGTTAGATACTCCCTTCCTTGTTGTATAGCATACTAGAGAAGATATTAGATACTCCCTTCCTTGTTGTATAGCATACTAGAGAAGATGTTAGATACTACCGAGAAGATATTAGATACTCCCTTCCTTGTTGTATAGAATACTGGAGAAGATTTTCGATACTCCCTTCCTTGTTGTATAGAATAGTGGAGATGATTTTCGATACTCCCTTCCTTGTTGTATAGAATACTGGAGAAGATTTTAGATACTCCCCTCCTCATTACCATCGGTACTAGATATATTGGACAAGGATTTAGATACTATACTAGACAAGATCTTGGATACCCTCTTCCCTACTATGAATTATACTGAACAAATTTCTAGATAATCTCAACAAACCTAGTATACTGGGAAAAGTATTTTGAAACTTATCTTTATTTACAAACCAATGTAAAAGAACATATTGTAAATAATTTTCATCTAAATATAGGTCTGGAGGATTCTCTTTCATTAGGTAAAAAAGTTAAAACATAAATCACTATCTAAGTAAAGCATATAAATGAATACCATTATTTTGTTTACAAATGGATAGCAGGATTCTATATTGGAAGCCATGATAGAGCAGGTCTTTGATGATTGGAACTGAGAAAGTGTTTTGATGTACTTGTCATGATGAAGCGTACAGTTTTATGTTTAATGACTTTTATGGGTTTGAAATAGCATTCATTTCCTTAGAGGAGAGTCTACTTACACTTGACACTGAGATTCCTTCTTGTAAATGCTGACGAGTACTTAAGACTGAACTGAGATTCTGCATGTTTGGCACAATACCTAGAAAGCAAACAAAATTGGAGTTTTTAACATGTTTTAATAATGCAATCTTTGTTTGCAGTTATTTGTACAGTGGGTTCTGTCCAAACTGGACTCTATCCAATCCGTATCTTTGTATAAACCAACTAATGTTTTTGGTCCAGGCAAAGTTCTTCTTAAATGATAGTAATTAAACACTTGCTAATCTGAACTCTGTCTATTCCGTAAACAAGCCTTGTTTCCTAGTCACATGCCTTCTATACATTAGTTCACCTACTCTCTGTTAACAGGTGTTGATTCTGTTCTGGTCTAGTGGGTATTTATATACAGTACTAATTTTCATGCAGGAAAGTTAATGGTTGACTAGTTTTGTCACTTTACCCACACAGATACACTAGTTTATAACATCATAATCAGCACTTAGTATTTCTACCTGGTCAGTATTATAAACCTAGTTCACCTTTGTCCTAGTAACAATGATTGTAACTGACAGTTGTTCTGCTCATATCAGTAATAATAATAAAAAAGTAATAAAATATATCTTGGAATAATTATTTTCTCTTACCATTTTTGAAAGTGAAATCACTATACAATGTACTGGTATGAATAAAATATAGCATTCCGCGATCCTTATACATTAGTAACATTAAACAACCATTTTAAACCATTCCTTTTACATTTAACATTTAAACCCACCCTACAATCCAGATTCTCTACAATCACATAATACGGCTCTGTTGGTGCCCAGTTTAGACAGCATCCAATGTAATAATTAATTTACATATACCATACGTAATTTAATTAACAGTAATAATTACACTGTTCCATAGAATCAAAAGAATGGTGTCAAAAGAGTAAAGCATAGGTTTTAAATAATTAAAATATTGTGGTTTTGGGAGAAATTAAGTGACTACATACATACAGCTTACCTGACAACATCAATAGTGGTAACAACAGCAGCAGTGGGAGACACAAACAACACCCATTCTTTTTTCTGTCAAATACAGTATACAGAATTCCAGTTATAACTCCACATTAAACACACAGAACACAGGCTGAGAAACTCACAAAGTAATCTAAATTATTGATTTAAACATAAAGCACTTATAAAGTTATACAACAAGAACATTTTTTTTTTAATTTTCATCTTTTCCTTAATTTTTAAAAGCTCTATCAGATATAAAATATCATCTAGAATACCAACAAATTGATCTTTCACAACAACAGACTATAACTACAAGTGTTGGTCTCTATTATGACAAGCTGAGATATGAGGTGGGACCTTGACAGGACACACTACGTACCGAGATAGTAGCCAGGTGTCCAAAAGTATAGCCTGAGATACGAGGTATTGTAGGATCGTAACGGTGGTCAGTATAGTGGAGGACAAGCCATGGTAAGCTGGTTGCCCAATATATGTCCACATGGGTTGGAAAACATGTGTCCACACAGGTCGTCCCACAGCATTCCACACAGGACTACCAACCGTGTTCCACATAGGTGTCACCACCGGGCTCGTCACCGCTGACACACGCTCTGTAATAATGTGTTATTATAGTATTGCAGTGACTATAAGCAGTCATTTTATACCTATTATTTTGTGACTATTATTGGTCATTGTATTACCTATTATTTAGTGACTATTATTGGACATTGTATAAGTCTTAGGTATCTATTTTTTAGTGGTCAGTGTATAACTTATTATTTAGTGACCGTAAGTGGTCAGTATATTACCTATTATTGTAGTGACCATGAGTGGTCAGTGTATTACCTATTATTGTAATGACCATGAGTGGTCAGTGTATTACCTATTATTTAGTGACTATTATTGGTCATTGTATAAGTCTTAGGTATCTATTTATTAGTGGTCAGTGTATAACTTATTATTTAGTGACCATAAGTGGTCAGTGTATTACCTATTATTGTAGTGACCATGAGTGGTCAGTGTATAACTTATTATTGTAGCGACCATGAGTGGTCAGTGTATTACCTATTATTGTAGTGACCATGAGTGGTCAGTGTATTACCTATTATTGTAGTGACCATGAGTGGTCAGTGTATTACCTATTTTTGTAGTGACCATGAGTGGTCAGTGTATTACCTAGTATCGTAGTGACCATGAGTGGTCAGTGTATTACCTATTATTGTAGTGACCATGAGTGGTCAGTGTATTACCTTTTATTGTAGTGACCAGAGTGGTCAGTGTATTACCTATTATTGTAGTGACCATGAGTGGTCAGTGTATTACCTTTTATTGTAGTGACCAGAGTGGTCAGTGTATTACCTATTATTGTAGTGACCAGAGTGGTCATTGTATTACCTAGCATTGTAGTAACCAGAGTGTTCAGTGTATTACCTATTATTGTAGTGACCAGATTGGTCAGTGTATTACCTATTATTGTAGTGACCAGAGTGGTTAGTGTATTACCTATTATTGTAGTGACCACTGTGGTGGTGACTGTGGTCAGTGTTGAAATGTCCTCAAGATCCTCTTCTGTTTGGGATGTTTCCTGTCGACGGGATGCATTGTAACTGTAATTTTTCCGAGAAGAATCTGGAGAAAGTAATTTAAATTATATTCTTTTTAGTAAGAGAGAAGCAAAGTAAATAAAAGGTACCAGTATATATCACACTAGCTAGATATACTAGAAGATATATTTACAATGTGACTGCTTATATTTTGCTACAACCACCGTCTAAATCTTGCTTACAAATTTCAGTTACTTACTTTTGAAGCTGATGGGTTATCAGCAGGATGAAGGGATACGCTTTAACATCAAAGATAGGATCTAGTTGCAGTATATGATAATAATTCCTTGTCAAGTATTTTGGTGGGATTGCCTTCAATTTTTTTTACTGTCCACAACATTACTTCTCTGCTTAAAACATTAGCTAGATTTTTACAGATGTCATTGGTTATATCAGTTAACTGTTTTTTAGCACCAGAAACATCATGTCCATTTAATAATGCTAGTTGAAGAAAGAAGTCACTGATGAAGCTGTCTGTTATAGTAAACAATTATACAAAATTCCAAACTTTACTAACTAGTAAATTACACCGAAACATTTATTAGTCTTTGTGGTAATTATATAAAACACTTTTTCACATAATGACTCACTCAATGGACACTTCCTAATATACCTGTATTATTCCTATACACCAGATATGTTAGCTAAACTGTATATTTTTGTTCATTAATTGACAAACTTACCAGTACATTCCTCTTCAGATTCAATACCTACAAATATAAATATTTCAATGTTACACATAACATTTTCTCTTTAGAGTACTATTTGTGGTCAGTGTATTACCTATTATTTAGTGACAATATCCAACAGACGGAATAATGAACTACCTAATGACTGGAGTGATCACAACATCTCCACATTTGTAAAAATATGATCAGGTAGGGTCAGGTAGAAACAAAAACCAGTTAAGTCTTGATCATTGACCTGACCACTTAAATTGATCATATGGGATTAATCTCTATTGTTTTTGGTAGTGAAATCAGTGTTGTTTGGTCAACATTTTACGGCTGGTATGCTTCTTTTAAACTATTGGTTAAGGGAAGCAATAGAGAGCCTTATTTCAAGGCTAAGGCATGGCTTATATGAGGGAAAATGGTCAGTGTGTTACCTTTATGGTATTGCCAAAACATCTCTCAGGTCTCCTGAGCAGCTCATTCAGAAAAATACATACAACTTTCCCTCTTTCCATAAGAATGGTGTGAAATACTATAGCTTATGCTGTTCTTTATATGTTGTGAACTAATTTGAATTTAAGCAAAAAGTAAGATGAAGAGAATTCTGCTGATTTCATAAGTTAAAACAACGGGGAAAAGTTGTGAGCCTTTTTCCAAAACAAAGATACTTGTACCGAGTAATTTAAATGACAGGTTTGTTTTAGCAGTGGGAGAGGAATCTGTTCCTTTAACATGGAAACTTATTATGAAGGTTGACAAGAGTGTTGTTTACATACCTGATACTTCAGAGTCTAGGCCTGAAAAGACAACATCGTAAGTATTATCGTAATGCTGCCATAAAATCATACGCATACTTGACAAAGATTCACATAGCTGTAGAGCAACATGTAAAAGTGAATGTGCATCTAATCTTACATGTGTGATAAAGTATGACCTTGTTCAATCTCACATTTCATATTCTCGTAGGAAAAAATTCTTATCGTTGAGTTGAATCAGCATAAAACTTTATTCCATTTCCTGCCTATATGTATACTCTAATAAAACGTAGCGATATCTATGTACAGTTATTGTGTCAAAGCTAGTCAACATTTGGATTACAGTAGTGAAATCTAATTGGATGTTGCTTTTTTGTCAGACTCTTAATGCTTTGGGATTCCATCAAGCTGGGTAATGAAGTACATGTATGTATACCACATTACCAACCTTACATGCAATAACACCTGTGTACATATACATCAGGTTAATTTTAAAGTTACTTTAGAATCCTTACAACTCAAAACAAAAGGCCTAAGGGGCCTTAATACTTACATGAGTTTAAATAAAAAATGTTTCAGCTAATCAGAGAATTGATTTTCAAAACAACAAGAAAGGTAACAACACCTGTTGTGGACCTCATAAGAACACTTGTACCCAATTTAGAGTCAACAGTACACTAGTGTAGCTAATCCTGAGAAGGAGTTGAAAATGTTATAGCCAATCAGAGGCCAAGCAGCCGTCTTGGATTTTCGGATTGGCAAAAAAAGGTGACATCACTTATTGGGGAACCTCAAAAGGAAGATTTGTACCAAGTTAACAATCAATCTCTTCAGTCATCATTAGAAGACCGCAGAAATGTCAGCCAATCAGAGGCCATGGTGGCCATCTTTGACAATCAGTTTGGCATGGAATGCAACAGTATTGGTCAGGGCCTCATAAGGAGCATTCGTACCAAGTTTGATTGGAGTTAATTCAGAGGTTCTGAATAAGTTGAAAAATGTAAATTGTTAACACATGACGGACAACAACAGACAAAGACAGATGGCAAGAGATCATATAACCAACCATGTGAGCTAAAAAAGGTGGTGTTAAACCTATCACCCCTAGGTAACATTAGTAGACTCTACAATGCATTGATCTGGATGAGTCTATTATGGTCTACAGTGGTGAAAGGGTTAAGCTAAGCGTATTTGTGTGTATTGCACATACCGTAATAAAAATGTGTTTGATTGAAGTTTTAGCTATAAAGATATTTACCATCCATAAATATAATATATTTGTAACTAAAACATAATAACTCTCAATAACATAAAAAAATCATTAAACGTGAGTATTACACAAACTCTAGATCTCTAGATCTTTGGAAACAATGTTACAAGCGTGATGTGTTGATCCTGGTGGGAATTTAGTCACTAAAGTATTGATATACATCGACCAGCATATAAACCTGTTTAGATTTGAACATTGATACTAATTGTTATAGAAAGTGTAGTTTTCAGTGACTAACGGATAAAGTCATATCCTGTTACATTTTTGTGGTCTTTTCGACAATTGAAGACTGTATGCAGCAGCTATAAAATATCTGCCACACTGTAGGATATGTATGGTACAGTTTAAAATATAATGTTCATCATTTCTAAAGTGGCAGAACTTAATTGTTTTCTTTATTCAATCATTTTTTCCTGACTGACACATTGGATTTTAAACCCACCATCTTAATAGGTTTTTCCCAAAATTTCTGTTTTAACTTATCTTGTTTCTTAATGATTTTAAAATACATCAAAGTTCGGTTGATTTGTTAATGTCCTAAAATCTTTCATTTATTGATTTAAAGGCAAATGACCCAAAAATGTTCACCAAGGACTATATTTCCAGTCCAAATGGTAGCAGTGTTTCTATATACTACTCAAATGTAGATTCTGCTAGACATTTGGTGGTACTGAGTGTGGACCACAGGCTAGAAGGAAAACTCACCATATAAATGATCAAGACTGTGGAGAGAAGTTCTTTGACTTATACGACTTTTCTCATTTGCAGCTTCTTTCATTCCTTTTTCCATTTCTGTTTCCTCGAATTCTTGCACTAGAGTTTTTCTCACTTTAGTCCGCACTCTCTGTGACACAGATGATCGAGATTGCTGGCTCTTTAACATATTTGTACTTGTTACCATGTCAGATGCTAGAGACAAACGTCCACGTGATCTAGAACTGACCGCGCTACTGACTCGTCCTGTAGACTTCCTCATCTTTGCTCTTTCATGCTCTTCAAATATCTCTTTAGCATTTTGTATACCTTTTCCTGATCGCAGTAACATACCATCCTCAATCACTGCAATAAACGGAGAAAAGTAATTTGATTTGAAATGGGTTACTTGCATTTATACAAAGTGCACAAAAGATTTTTTTTTGGTATATATAGCATATAACAACAACATGCCCCAAAATACTGGTTATATCAATTATTCCATACATGTATACAATGAACAGGTATAATCTCACTCCGAGCGTCAACATGTACATGAGTCATATAAAGTGGTAAACAATTTCAAAGTAGTATTTAATTATCACACATGTACAGTAAGCCTCCACATTTCCTGTATGATAAAATCCTTATTTTCTGTGTAAATGCATATACTGGATCTAAACTGCCAAGACAGCAATAGTCTGTTCAGACTTGTGTATCATCTCTACCACATAGGTAACTAACGACATCCCCAATATACACTGTACCTGTCACCTAGGTCCAGTGACTTTTAATGGACACATAACATGTTAATTACCCGTGGGACAGGACCTAAAAATGGCCAAATAATTATGGCCTATAGAGAGTACTTGAGTATTGAGTGTATGGCTTGCTGATCATGAATTGTCTGAATGATCACAATTAGGCGTCACCCTTGTAACGTATTCAGAATAATGGAATAGCCTATATTACACTACAATTAGGCGTCACCCTTGTAATGTATTCAGAATAATGGAATAGCCTATATTACACTATAATTGATACTTTAAAACTTCTTCACTTATAGTCGTGATTAACAAATTTAGAGCTTGAAGTCATCACTTTGTGAAATAGTACATTTGTTACTTCATAATCAGGATATATTGATTTATTCAGAATACCCCGGTAACTAGCTGAAGCATTTACTATTGCTAAATGCTGTAGGGATTGACAAAAAAATCAAGTTTGTTTGCCATAGATTTTTCACAACCATTTAGACAGTATTGATTATCATCACCAGTAATTTTGCTACTACAGTTGAATAAGTTATTTTTTAAAAAGGAGAATTTTTCATGCATGCATGAGTTTAATGAGCCAGATGTGTACCTATCACCTGCCTCAATTATAGGGGCTGATGTTATCATATCAAGCTGCACATCCGTATCAATAGAATGTGTAACAGGCTTATCAACAGAATGTGTAACAGGCTTCACTTGGTGTGACATGGCTGACACTGTATCTTGTCTCTAAGTTTTACCCATGTTTACCAGCTAAGACTAGGGTGGGACCAATACATCAGGAATGCTATCTCAAGGACTAGAAGTAACTCAAAAAACATATATTGAGTAAATATTTGCAAGTATATTAAATCATGCCTATGTAAATTTTGTGAAAAATTAAAATCAAACTGAAATTTAAGTAGGACAATTTACAAAACCCACCTAAAATTTTGAACTCATAAAACAAATTAATTATAAATAATATAGTAAAGCATTTCTACGTCTTAAATATTATGTGTTTAGAATTTGCACAAGTCTGAATTACAATATAAATCTGAAGGCAAGGGTGTACAATTCATCCAGCCCGACACCTGGGACTAGTAAGTTTTTTGTCAAGGCTGGTGAATTTTTTCAATATATACTAGTGTATGTATAATGCAATAATAGAATGTACTATAAAATTATACTGCCTGTGGACTAGAACTTTTACTATGAGATTGGACAACCCTGCTGAAGGTATGTCCATTAAACAGATACCTATCACCTGATGATTAGCTCAAGGGAAGGGGACTATTGTATCATCTGCTTCAATATTATCACCTGCCTTCACAACATGTACACAGTGTGTGGTGTAAGAAGGAGGACAGGCCTAGGTAGAGGAGAGGACTACCTACAGCACTTCATCATCTCACATACCTGGATATACAGCACTAGATCAGCAAATATAAGATACACTATCAGCCTAAATTGGTCCCCATTCAGTGTGTTTTTACTGCTTTTACAGCTGAACATATGTTGCCTTTCCTAGCAGAATGTACTTTATTTTTCCCAAAATGAAGAAAACAGGAACATGTTCCAAATTTCAATGAAAATAATGCTATATTTTCCAAAATCAAGTAGGAACAGGCTGTTGTAAAATTTAAGCAGGAAAACCATGAGCTATATTGGTCTACATTATATATCAATGCAGGGCCGACTATGATGTAGGTATATATAAGTTATGTTATAATTAATTCTGTAACTGAACACCATTTATGTATAATATGACAGGCTTTGCTTGTAGTTATGTAAAGCATCTCGCCCTCAATGTTCTGATGAGACATCCCACAGGGTGCAGGTGTAGCACCTAACACTGTATGTAAGACTTCTGACAGCAGCTCACAACTGTCATTGGATTCCTGTCTTCCTTTCTTATATCCCCTCAACCTCTCGTTATACACCAATATGATGATTTACCTGTTTATAGGTATAGTGTGCATATATTTAAGTATTGGGACTAATGAAGTCATTATGCATGTGCCCCCCACCCCTACACCATTTCATACCTATACCGATACTTATGGCACTCTCACCTGTTCTACTGGTAACATAGGTTTCAGACATCTCAGTACTGGGGCTGGAGATGTATCCATCTTCCTCCTCAGAACTGTAAACATCACTGATGTCCTCCACAAGGCTGGTCCCCGACCTGACCAGTCGTCGCGACATGTTGGGTATTTTATAGGACCTGTTTAGATACCTCCTACTATAGCTGGGGCTGAAACATACAACATATCAATATACCTGGTTGTTATTTACAATTTTGCCGCCTGATGTAAACGTTGGCCCATAAAATATCTGTCGTCGTGGATGACTGGACGCATCAAATTCTAACTCCACCGGCCTTACACACACACAACCACACACACATCTGGAAGGGTTTCACACAGTTTAGTATACAAATTTAAACATCATACAAAAAGAAGATGATTAAATAGATACAGATATAAGTTTGCGAGTGTTGACTGATATGAGTCAAGTACAGTATAAACCAATTACACCGGTCACATTACCTGATCTAGAGTCGGACAGTGTTTAATTCCTCGCTAGTGTTATCCATTGAAAACACAATCCTTCAAATAAATCCCCATACACCTTTTACCAAGTACATTGGACTTAAAATTCCTAACAATGTTACACAAAATCATCAGACTTTCATGTCTACAGGCAGCTGGTTACGCATGGTTCCAATCTAATATACCAAAGGCATATTGTTTACTTGGTTGAATAAATCTCTGATCCTACACACTGAGCTAACTAGCTGTGTATAAAACAGAGCACCTGTCCAGAGTTTACTTATAAACAATACACACCCACTGGCACACACACAAGGTCATGATCTGTTCATAATGATCCACAGAATCTGAACTCTTCACTCTCACCACAAGGTGAAGATACCTAGCAATATAGATATCCCAGCTGCTTTCTAACTGTATCCAAAAAAGTTTCAAAAATAGTATGTTCACTATGGTTGAGGTCACATTCTTTCAGCCAAGTGTTGTAGGCAGTGATAGCTGTCTAGATACACACGGACTCCATATAATAAATAGTTTAGAACATGTTTTTTCACTGACCCGGATTCTCATTCAAGTGAAAGTCCTCCCCATGCATTATCCAATAGTGGCTGAGGTCTAATGATGAAATATGACGTGTGCTTGGTCTATATTTAAAATATTATTCCTTACATGTACATGTGGTGTACTAGGGAAGTGGCTGGTAGGCAGTAACAACACTTGTGGGGAAATGTGTAATGCTGTCCTCACTGGGGTGTGGCCATGCATGACAGGAAAAGCCTTACAGATAACAAGTGTTCCCTCAATTATACCGCCTCCAGACCCAATGTGACATAACAACCTAGTTATTGGCTATAACTAGGTAACATTAGGCCTGTTATAATAGCATTACTACTACAAACACTACAGCTTTCACTCATAAATAAATACATGCTTTTATCCTATATCATCAAACAAACTGTAGCACACAATTGGTAATGTACACATAATTCCAGAAACAGAGCTCTCCTCTCAAAGACAAACATTCTTTCTTGGTATATTAGCACAATACATGTACATTACATTATAAGGATTTTCACATAATTGTCGACGAAAAGATATATTTTTGTATTTTGAATGGTTGATACTGGTTGAAGTTTGTGTTTGGTAAATTACAAAGAATGTAGAATGATTTGTACTGTGTTAAGCATTAACAGATGTACAAAGTGGTAATTGTTAGACTGTATATACCATCATATTCAAGCAAACGTTTTGTATCCTATCGGTGGAACTCTGTTGATCTCTGACTTTGGATGGAACCTCTTCCAGGTTATACTGGTATAAATATCAACAAATAATTCTAACACTCATAACTTCGACAATTTTTTAGAAAACCAAAATGAACCCCCCCGGCCCCGATGTTACTTGGAAATAAAAGTGAATATAGCAGATATGTTATTTTTACAGATCAAAATAGCTTAATGTGATCCTGACCTTTAACCTTCTATACCAAAAACTCTTAAAATTCCTCAAATCAATAGGGCTCATCATCACCCATGAAGACTCAGTTTGACAAAGACAGATGAAAGGAAAAACTTACAATATGAGACCAATGTCTACAGATCAGATACATTTAAAGGTAAATATGACAAGTCAGATTGACCAATTATGCATTTTCTATTTTCTCTATATTTTAATGTCCACTTAAACTATGCTAACTTTTAGGGGTAAATAGACTTGTTACTAATACATGATATCATACAGTTTACATATAAGAGTATAATACAAAGATGGATTTTAATGATTTCTGATTAAATACCAAATGCATTAAAATCCATCTTTGTATTATACATTCTGCCATACTTGTCAAGTATGGCAGAATGCTGACATTTTTTTACACAAGAGTGTTAAATGAGTGAAACTATTGGTATAATCTGTCATGCGAGTGAAAAATTATACAAATGATATTCAACAGGCTAAAACCAGTAATTTTTCAATTATTACATTTTAAAACTACCTGCAATGACCATGCTGAAAAGGTTCCTGCATCACAACAGTTGGGGATTTGATAGTGTTCCATTTGGCACCCTATTCATATAATGTCACGCTCGACAACAAGCCTGCATGTCATTTTGACAAGCTACTCAACACAGTTCTACCATTTTCTGCTATTATTTGTTAAGATTTGCTTACATAAATGTTATCAACTGTACATGTGTAAGTGAATACTGTTGTGTAGGTGGCAAAGACAAACTAAAACAACTACTTATAATTATTCTACCATCACTTCATCTGTATATTAACAAAAAATGTGTGGCTTTGAATGAAATAAAAAGAAAGTACTGCTCTGTGCTGACTGGTCAAATCCAACAGTGATATTTTCACATTGTGACATAATCTTGAACAAGCTTGATAAGAAGTAGGTCTTACCTTCTGGAATATGTATAGTCTGTTTTTGGCATTCTGTAAATAAAGATGAAAATTGTGATTAATTCATTATTTGTATTTTTGTAAATCTGGTAAATATACATATTTTACCAGTATGTTGATCCATATCATTTTAGACCTTAGCATATATCCTGTCAATCAATATAACTAGCCATGGTATGTCGCATAAAACACAACCTTTATCAATACATACCTGGAATAGTATTTCTATTAAGACCATATATGTTCATTTCATTATCAGTGATTTTACCTCGCATTCAAAGACAACCATCCTTTCACTCTTGCTAACTGCTTTTAATTTCAGAATTGAATCTTCCACCAGCAATGATACGTAAAATGTCATTTTCTTTAGTCATCTCTGACATTCTATTCCTGATGAATGGATTTTAAAATCCTGAAGGTAAACACTTGTTAGCCAAACAAACACTACAATTAGCTCATAAAATGTGTAAAGTCACGTGTTAGCTATAACACGCCCATGTAACCATCATACACCATACCAGGTAAGGTCTGGCTATCAGTGATACTTTACCTCATAGACGTATAATGCTGTTGGAAACTTGGATAACAGTTCATGCATTAATTTCTAATTTCAACCCAACTCTACAAAACATCTGCTGATAAATATTCATATACATGTAGTTGTCAAGGTTGTTTTGCTTCACTGATAACACAATTATAAATGCTGACAACATTCAAGCAATTTCATCTTCTAGTAATTCAAAAACAGCATGAAGGAGGGAAAGGGGGTGAAATCCTTTAATTTATGATGTGATGTAATTGAATTTTCTGGAAAACTTCAACCATAAAATTACTTCATATCAAATATTAAAAGTTAATATATTCACTTTTTCAACAGCACTATAGTGTTTATTAGTCTGGTTGTTTTTTTTATTTCAATTTGGATTCCTGAGAGTCAAATGAAATTTTAATCAACTAATATTACTGAGTACTTTTTTTAGAGTCATTATTTATTGACGTACATAAAATGTGCATATAATCAAGCATACACATTTAACTCTTTAACTACATTTGAACAACTCATATAAATATGTATTATCAATATTTTATTTTAATCACTGCCAAGAAAATCTGTACATATTAAGCTTGTATACAAGACATCTATTTTAATTAAATATTAATAAAATATGAATGGTGTTTGTCAAAGGTGTCCTCAAGATGCTAGTTTGAAGAATTATATGGATAGTGATGTGTTTTGAAGTCTGAAAGTTCATGTGTTCTAGGTATCCTAGCAAAAATAAAATTAAAATACAAGTAGCCGTGTATTTTATTGACTTTCCTGCTCCTTGGACCTTAAAAGAATAGAAATGGATGTTTCATACTTTAATATAAATCATTCCAGAGGGACCTGCCAGAATTCTCCAAAAGACAACTCTTCCTTATACCTGTATAGTTATCAATTAAAGGCTTTGTGAGATATCAATCATTAATATGATAGTTTAATGTTGGCTTGTGAGACAAAGCCTGCAGGAAGGGAGCTAACTCTTCTCTTCTTTACTATTTGTACAATAAACTTCTGTGTGTGATCTTCCAGTCATGCTTAATGTAAATATTTTACATAGTGCTTAAAACTTCAACACCAACAACCAATCTAGTTGGGGCATTACATCAAGTATTTTGATAACAATTTATTTTCATGTACACATGAATTGATGTATACAACAACTAAGTGAGGGATTTTAAATTTGTAAAATGTTTGTAAATCTGGAATGATGATGATATCATTATGAATTAATGATGATGGTGATGATGATGATCATGATGGTGATGATGATGATCATGATGATGATGATGTTGATGATATGATGTTGATGATGATATGATGATGATGATGATATGATGTTGATGATAATTATATGTTGATGATGATACATATGAAATGATGATTGAAGATTTTGGATGATGACGGATGATGGCAATGATGATGATTGAATAATTATATATGATGATATGTTGATGATATTATGATGACAATGAAATTGATTGTGATAATGCTAAATCCATGTCCGTGTGTGTATATGTGAGAATGTGTGAATGTCCTGTTTATGTATATGTATATGTAATGAAAAACTTGGAAAAATAAAACCATTACAAAAAAAAATCAAAAAAATCTGATATGATTCATAAATACAGGTAAATCAACTGAAGGATTTAGCTTTCAAACTAATCTGGAAATTTGACATGTGTTTATTCTGGACATCACTTTCACATATTCTTTATCATGATTTTTTTTATTACCCAGTGTTCTCCCCAGAATGTTTTGAAAGAAATATGGTATTTCAATATTTCTGTTAAAGCAGCACTCGATGTAAAATCAAAGCAGCATGGTAACTTTAGATATACTATGAATATATAGCAGAGAAGATCTAGGATAGCAGCATGGTAACTTTAGATTTACTATGAATATATAGCAGAGCAGATCTAGGATAGCAGCATGGCAAGAAATTATAGGAGCATAGTGCCATGCTGCAAAAACAGCCTGGGGAGAACACTGTTACTTGATATTAGTCTTTTGTGATACTGAGATTTAGGTGTTTTATATATATCTTATACTATCACTTTCTTTCCATTTAGGAACATGGTAAAAAAAGTTTTGTGTATTTATGTTATTTACTAAATTTTACATGTTTCATTTATTTATTTAGTAAATTCCCTAAACTTACATGATTCAATGTGTGCATCCATCTACATATACCCAGCAGTGAAGGAATAAACTTAGTATATAATCTGTCATGTGTTAATCCCTAAAACTGTAGGAAGAGATAAACAGGACATACCCTTTACCAAAACAAATATTTTAAATCAATTATTTGTTATGTATATAAGTTCTTACATGAGTTTCAATTTCATCGGAGATTTATGAAACGAGTCTGACAATTTTTCAATTTAGCGAGCCTCTGGCGATCTAAAATGGAAAAAAATTGACAAGTTTCATAAATTTCATATGAAATGAAAACGAATGTAAGATCATTTTTATCAAATAATCGCCATTTTGACTCCAGTGCATAAGTCTGTGACGTCGCGTAATTGAAACTTACAACCAATCACAGGGCTGGTAGGTCATATAACATGGGTTAATATGCAATAAAATATGACATGGGTATATTCACTGGATAACATACTGAAAAGCGCTTTATATCGCTGAGTCAATATTTCGCGGTTTCGTTTTCAGGACATATTCGCAGGGGTTAAATTTCGTTGTACACCCGGATCCCATGTGTCCTGAAAAGTATTTTGAGTTATCATTTAAGGTTAAACCTCGAAATACTGGAAAACCGTTTGAAAACACTGATCCCGAGCATTGTCATCTGCCAGTGATTTCACTTGAAAGAAAATCAAATGTGTACACATCAATACGTTGTGGCAACTTATATGTACATAAGTGTTGTTTTAACATGGACTGCCCAGTTGTCCGGTGATAATCTGATTTGAGTTCATTTAAGCTTGCATAACAGCATTGGGTTATAAGTATTTTCAACATGTTGTGATAAGGTCTGTAAAAATGATTAACATTTTCGAAAATTTCGCTGGTGTTAAGAATTCGCGGATATTAGGCAAAGCGCAAATATAGCGAAATTAAAACCTCCGCGAAATAATTGTTTCTGGCCAGAAGTGAATAAACGTTGGCAGAATTGATCCTTTGGTACTTAGTTAATTGTCAGCATAAAGAAGACAAGAACCCCACCTCCTCGTGATCAGTTTCCATTACACAAGGTGATGGCACCAACTTGAATGTAAAATTGTATGTATTGTAACCAAACCTGAAACTAATTACATATAACTTAATATTGAGTCACAGGACACTGCAAGTTACCATGAAACTACCCTTACAGGCCAAAGTAAGTATTGTGTTGTGAAGCTTAAACATATATGTGTTGGCAAATATGTCTAGCATACATTGTTAAAGGGGAATTATTACAGGGCTGTACAAGATTTACTGGTCATATCTGTCCTTGTTGCTCCAGGGGTATTACCTACATCCTTTGTTCTGTATACTACAGCCATCTATACAGGTCATTTACACACTTCTACAACAGACAGTAGTGTTACCTGTTCTAGTCTTATATACCTATCTGTAATCAAACACTTCAAGGGCATTTACAGCTGGTGATCCTCTTGTCTTTCCTGGTCAATACTAGCAATGTATATACATACTTACATACAGACTTAAAATGTGTTACCATAAATTTGCTTTCAAGCTTCTGAAGAGGTTTAGAGATATCATGAACGATAGACTATCCATGTCAAATGTACTCCAGAAAACTTTACAGACGCTCAACTTATAAACCGACAAAGTATAGCAATATCCATGTACATAATATTATGTACATGTACATTTGTACACATAATCAAAGCACTGCATATAAAATATATATATAGTACATACCAGGGTACACATACTCTCGTACCAAGAATGTGTAGATGTACATGTTTGAACCAACTACCGGTAGTTTTACATACAGCTTTAGGGTACTTTATATATTTAGCTTAATTATTCTCATACAAATACTTGGAATTATTTTACATTGAAAATAATTATAATTGAGCAAGAATAAAAATACTGAATCTAGTCTGCTTTACTGATAAAGATACACAAAGATCAACACATGTGACACACCTAGCCAGTAAATACAGATATAATTGTGTCACCAGTTATGCCTAAAGTGCTGGGTAATTACTATACATGACCAGACCAGATACACAAAGACTAACACATGTGACACACCTAGTTAATTAAGTGTATCACCTGGTTCTGTACAATGTTGTTTGAGGGGCTGATCACTACAATGGTCAAACCTTATACACAATGACCACAATGGCACATTATAATATCAAACTGTTCAGCCATAACACACTTCCCAAGGGAAATTACACTGAAGCTCCAACCTTTATTTCCTCCCAATCTACCACCTCTCTGGTAATGATCAGACATTCCACTTGTCTAGCCTGGTGCAGACTGCAGTTTATTGATCAATAAATACCAGCCAGACTAGCCAGCCAAACACATAATTAATGTTCTGGTCATTTTCTCATGCACCAAGGCCTGAAATATATTCTGATGGCAACCACATAAAAACTGATAATCTATGGGATGATAGCATGCATGAATGAAGTTATTAGTTCCACAAGTCAAATCAAGTTTGTCGGCTTTAATTATACATGTATACAGTATACAAAGAAGGAGTTCTTTTAATGTTGTTGTTTAATATTAATTTTCTCTAAACCAGATTTACACTATACCCAAATCTTATGTGTGCTTATTAAATAATATATATCTGTTCTGATTTTGATTTGTTGTTTTCCTACACATTGGACAGATAGCATATAGGTGTACAATGTATGTGGTATATTTTTATATCATAATACAGTGTAATTACCATTAAATAAACACTGTACTTTGATCACAGGAAAAGAAAATTATACATTGTATGGCACCACAAATTAGCTTTAAACTGAATTACAATTTTCTTTCAAATAAATGCCACTGACAACAATATTTACAAGTTTACATATCAAGTTTCATTCAGTTATATCCCCACTCACCAAGTGATAGCTTTAAAGTTTTAAAAAAACACCCTGAAATTGGGTTGTTACTATTTTGGGAGTTGTCAAGACAAACTTTATCAATGGGTTACATGGAATACACTATATCTCTATTGGAACACAGGACCTTCCTGCATTTTAATTAGA